TAGGGAACATCTAGAGACACACATACACACATATACACATATCGGTCTCCATCCGTAGCCATTTTGGCTCAAGCCAGGCTTGCCGAGATGTGCTGCGCAATTCATGCAGCCGTTTTGCCCGTTCGCGCCCCGTGACTGTCGCCCATGTCGCTGGTCGCATCCATTTGTGCAGTTTGTTTAGCCCTTGGATGGTTGCTCGTCCGCGCCATTTTGGTATCGAGGCAGCTGTTACTTCATATGGGCATTGTGCATTTCTTTCAGACTGAGTCCCCGTCGACGGCAGCTGCAACTTGGGCGCTTCAATCTGTGCTCCCGCAGTGCATTGCCAAGCTGCTCACCAGGTTCAACTCGATTGCGAACGCTGCCAAACACCGCCGCTGCTTACAACCTGGTCTGCCTTTCTGGCGTCGCCCGCAACGCCGTCGGCAACCGGCGCCGGCCGCCGACAGTGGTGATGGTGGAGTCTTTGTCCTTCGGCTGGCTGATCACCTCCCAGCGCGCGCCGCACCTGGGCGGTCTGAGGCACTGGACTCTGCGGCGTCTACTTTTCTGCCAGGTGCCCGCTGCCCATCGATGTGTGAAGAGAGTGCTGGTGCTTCCCATGAGGTTTCGTATAATGACTTGCATGCGCAATTATGTTTTGCATTACAATTGATTGAGCAACAAAATTCGACGATCGCGAAGCTTTTAACGGACAAAGAGCACTGGATGCAGACTGCCTGGGCTGGGAGCGTGGACGCTCGCACATCGTTGTCGCAAGATCTTGGCGCATTGAACGCAGGATCCAACAAGTCGAGGCTGATTGTTCTGGGATTGACGCCCGTATTCATGGTCTTGCGAAGGCGCTGGGCCGCTCGGTGCAGGAATCGCTTGACCTTCGCCTCCCCCAGAAGCTGGAGGCATTTCGTGCTGAGCTGCACCAGCAAGTGCGACACACAGGAATACAACCCCAGGACATCGCGAAGCTTCTGGAGCACTCCATCGGGCCTATCGCTGAGTCTGCCAACAATGCGTCGCAGGCTTCTCTGACCGAGGCTCTCATGTCTAAGCTCACGAAGTTGGTGCAGGCGCTGGACTCCAAGTTCAGCCATGACCTGCGACAGACCCGCGTCGATCTGGAGGGCCAGCTGGTGGCGCTCAAGAGAGTGGATGCGTATTCGCCTGTCGTTCCCCCGATCGTAGACAAGGACCTGGCGACTACGGCGGGTGCCACTGGGCAGCCGAAGAAGGCCACCATCAAGAAAGGCTTCTTGACTGGTGCGTTCACGCCCCTGTACGGGAACAGTGGCTCTAAGGAAGGGGCGCGCCCTGGAGACTGTCAAGATCGAGGCCCTTGTGAAGGTGCTCCCGACTGCATGGACTCGCTATCGGCACTGACCCCTCCCTCCTGGGATGCCACAGCGGGTGCGGCCTGCCCGTCGACCTCGAGGTCACCGCGCTGTGCCACGGCATCTGCGCCTGCTTCGAGGCCCTCGCGCAGCGCTACGGCTTCTGCGACTACTACGACGTCCAAGGCTGAGGCTATCGCCCCTGCCGCTCCGTAGAGCGTTCAAGACTCCTTGAGTACGAGCGACGCACATCGTTATCCATGTATATGTAACTGCACGCTTGTGCGTGTACCTCCCACGCCGTCCATGCCCGGATGGCTTAGGGCGTTCTCCACACCTCACGCGGCCGTGGTGAGTTTTTCCCACGGTCTTGCGTGTACCCTCCCCGCCATCCATACCAAGGTGGCCGATGCCGGTAGGTTTGCATCCTGAGCGATGCTTGAGGGCCCGGCCGCCGCGCGCATTGTTACGCTTTCTTCGCCTCGTCGCTGCGCGCGAGGCCGCTACCGTCAAAAAGGTTATGTGGAGGTGTGTGGCTGCCTCCGGGCAGCCAGGCACCGTGCTGGCCCGCTCTCGGCCGTGTCGCGCCGCGGCCTCTGCCGCGCCGTTCGCGCTCGCGTGCTCGGCCTGCTTCCCCTTCCTTTCGGCTTGGAAAGGCAGGAGCTCGCCGCTTGGCGGCGGTTCGCCAGCGCCCGCTCGCGGCTGCTGAGCCCCCACTGGTGTCTTGGGGCTTCGAAGAAGAGCGAACTGCACAAACGCAGACTTCCAGAGCTCCGCGCGGATTTCCTGGATCGGCGCTGGGACCCCCCCTTCGCTGCGCTGCGCTCCCAGGGAGGGGGGCCCAGCGCCGATCCAAGACATCCGTCCGGAGTTCCGAACGTTTGTGCTCGTGCTGTTTGTTGCTTGTTCTGCTTCGGTTTCTGGCGATCCTGAAGAGGGTCACTTGACAGGAGGTCACAGCCTGCCGCTGCAGGGAAGTCGCCTGGCCGCCGCGTCTGCCGCAGTCCGCTTCTCAGGCGCCGCGCTGCTGCGCGCTGCTCTGTCTGGGGCCGCTGCCATGCCCGTGACAGGCACCACCGCCCGCAGCTCTTGTTGGCCCTCTTTTCCTGCACGCTCCCCGCTGGCGCACCTGCCGCCGCGGTGCATGTTTGCAATGAAGGAAACGGATCCTGAGGCAAAAGGGTCCTGCTAGTTTTCCGTGTTATCGGGCTCTCGGCTCCCCCCTCTGGGCTTTGGGACGGTCGAACAAGGACACAGAATGAACAGTGTGTTGTCGGGGAAGGCCCCAGGGTCCAGGACCCGTTTCCCTCAGGACCAGTTTTCTTCATGCCAACATCTCCTTTGCCCGCCCTGCGCTCTCTCGCATCCTGCCAGGCGACACGGCCTCTCGTCGGCCAGGCCAGCCAGCCCAGTGCCTCACACCCTTGAGATCTGACGCTGCGAAAATTACCCGGTGACGTACCCAACCTCATTTATATTTGACAGAGCTCGTTCTACCGCTGCTGTGCTGGCGGAAAACCGGGGGGGTCACCGGGGGTTCCCAACCCGGCCCCACCCCTCGTCGAAAACTGGGTGGAGGTCACTACCAGCTCGAACCCCCCCCCCCCCCCAGTCCATCATGAAAAGGAGGGGGGGGGTCACTACTGGTTCGAACCCCCCTCCTCGAAAACCGGGGGGGGTCACTACCGGTTCGGACCCCCCCTCCCCCCCCTTCGCCGCCGGCAAACGATTCCCGCTCCTCGGGACAGTTGGACAGTGGTGGGGACACTGGGGCAGTGATGGGGACGGTGGTGGTGGGGACAGTGGTGCGGGGACAGCGGAACAGTGGTGCGGACAGTGGTGGGGACGGTGGTGGTGGGGACAGTGGTGAGGGGACAGCGGGACAATGGTGGGAACAGCGGGACAGTGGTGGGGACGGTAGTGGTAGGGACAGTGGTGAAGGCGGTGGTGAGGACGGTGGTGGGACAGTAGTACAGTGGGGAGAGTGGTGGGGACAGTGAGGACAGTGGGACAGTGGTGGGGACAGTGGGGACAGTGGGACAGCACAGTGGGACAGCGGCGGGGACAGTGGGACAGTGGTGGGAACAGTGGAGACAGTGGGACAGTGGTGGGGACCGTGGGGAAAGTAGGGAGAGTGGGACAGTGGTGGGACAACGGCGGGGAGAGTGAGGACAGTGAGACACTTGTGGGGGCACTGGTGGGGACAACGGGGACAATGGTGGGACAGTGGGACAGTGGTGGGGACTGGGGGACAGTGGTGGGGACGGTGGTGGTGGGAACAGTGGTGTGGGGACAGTGGTGGGGACAGTGGGACAGTGGTGGGGACAGCGGTGGTGGGGGCAGTGGTGAGGGCGGTGGCGAGGACGGTGCTGGGACAATGAAACAGAAGAACAGTGGGAACAGTGGTGGGGACAGCGGTGGGAACAGTGAGACAGCTCAGTGGGACACTGGCGGGAACAGTGGGACAGTGGGGACAATGGGACAGTGGTGGGGAGAGTGGGGAAAGTGGGGAGAATGGGACCGTGGTGGGAACAGTGGTGGGGACAGCGGGGACAGTGCGACAGCGGTGGGGGCACTTGCCGCCGGGGAGAGGGGGGGGTCCAGCAGGGGGGGGGATTTTCGAAGGGGGGAGCACCCCTGGATTCCGGAGTAAGAAGGGTGGGAATTTTACACAGTAAAGCGGCGGTGGATCACGCTCTCTCTCTCTCTCCCTGTCCTATACATACATACATGCACACCGTATGTATGTATGTATGTATGTATGTATGTATGCATGCATGTATGTATGTATGTATGTATGTATGTATGTATGTATGTATGTATGCATGTATGCATGTATGTATGTATGTATGTATGTATGTATGTATGTATGTATGTATGTATGTGTGTATATATAGATGTATATGTGTATATATATATATTCCCTTTTCTATATTTGTATAATTCCGGGGGTGCGGACCCCCCCCTGAAACGGGACCCCCCGGATCCGTGCCACGGGGGCGGCCGAAAATCTTTTCCAAGGCGTGCACGCAGGCGGGCGGCAGTGCCAACTCGGTCGGCGCAAGCCCACAGAGACACCCAAGACAGTCCAGGATAGCACCCGGGTAGCCTTGAAGACCCTCCGCGAGAGCCCCAAGACCGTTCTCAATGGGGGCCCGAGAGAACAAAATCATTGAATTTCCATTGGTTTTTCAATGTTTTTAGCGTCCTCGCTTTTTCGGGTTTCCGACGCTCCCGGACCGCCCAAGAAGCCCCCCAAACCGCTCCAAGACGGCCCAAGAAGCTCCCAGAGCGCGCTGAGAGCGCCCCAAGACGGTCCAAGACGCGCCCGAGATGGCCCACGAACGGTCCAAGACGGCCCAAAAAGGGGCCCCAGGGGGGACCACGAAATGAAAATACGAGCCTCCCGCCCCGAGAAAGCCCAAGGAGGCCCCAAGAGAGCTCCACAGGGCCTCGGGAAGCCCCCTAATTAGCTCCGGTGAGGCTCCCAAAACATCTCAAATTGTTATTTTTCCATGTGTTTTTCAATGTTTTCAGCGTCCTCGTTTTTTCTGGCTTCCCACGTTCCAAGACCGCCCAAAAAGCTTCCAAAACCGCCCCACAACGGCTTAATAGGCTCCCAGGGCGCTCTGACTCTGAGAAAGCCCCAAGACGGCCCAAGACGCGTCCGAGATGGCCCACGAACGTACGCTTTACACCATCGACGTGGGCGTGCAGATGATCGGCGTGAGGGTTGGTGGCAAAGTGCAACGCGACGCAGGCCTCCGCTTTACGCTCGCTGACGCGGCAACGCTCCAGCCAGGGCAGCCGCGGTTGGCGCAGCGCCATGCGCTTTCTACGGTCTCGGGCCTCCAAACTTGCCGAGCTACCCTCGGCCGAAAGCTCGTCGTCGGACCTGGGGCCCTTGCCTTAGTTTCACTTTTCCAAATCAGCTACCATTTATATTTCTTGCTTTCCCCCCAGGTCACTCAGCGCGCCCGGGAGCAGCTCACCTTCCCCGAGACGCCGCGGAACGTGGACTACATGAATCACGGACTCATGCCTCCACAGAGCGAGGCAAACCCATACAAAGGCCGGTCTTGGGCATGCTGCGTGGACGTGGTCCCCATGGCGTCCAGCGCCATCAAGGCCGCCATCGCGCACGGCACGGCCCACGCCACCTTCGTTCTGAAGCGCGCTTTTTTCGAGGCGGACTTGGCCGTACCAGCGTCCCCCACCGCGGCCGCGTGGACGGCGTCTGCGTCCTTGCTGGGCCAGCGGCTCAATATCCACCGCACGGGCACGCGCGCCGACGCCGCCGATTGGGCAGTCTCCGACCTGATCCGCTTCCGCCCGCGGCTGGACCCTGCGCTGCCGACCAACGTCCGCCAGGAATTCGACGCCCTGGCGAACAAGCATTCCGCGTACATCACGATCGGGCCCTTCAATTGGGAGGGCGACGCCGAGGCGGTCACAGCCCCGAAGAGGCGCCCGACAGCTGCTGACGGTGAGCGCGTGGCCCGCAAGCGCCCCGCACGCCGTTGATGCGCTGTCCGCCGCAGCGCTTCCCCTTCCCTGTTCGGCCGCGCCCGCGCTGAGACGTTCTGAGCGGGCGGGCGTTTTTTAAAAGCGACATCCGCTAACGCTGCGGAGGTCTTGAGCCTATGTCTACCGTTCCGCCCCTGGCGACCGCGTTGCGGCGCGCCCGCGAAGCAGCCACCACTACTAGCGTTTGGCCCCTGGTGCCCACGTCGCGGCGTGCCCCAGACCGTTTGCGCATTTCGCCCTGGTGCCTGGCCCCGCGGGAGGCGACGCCAACGTTGATCCAGTTCACCTTCGGAAAGGCACCCGCCGATCTTTCCAGCCCGCAAAAGTCCGCCAAACGGCCCAAGAGGCTTCCGAAACTTTCCAGGACACCTCCAAGAGGCAGGGCCCGACGCGTTCCCGCCGCCAAGGATCGCCCAAACGCTTCCCGCGCCGCTCCGAATCGCGCAAGAGGCTCGCAAACCGGTTTGGAATATCCCAAGAGGATTTCAAGACGGCCCCACAGGCTCTCCAAACGGCCCTCGGATCCTCTGAGAAGGACCACCGCGTGAGTGCGTCAGGCCCACGAGCGCCTCAAGCCAAGCAAGGATCCCCAGAGAGCCCCGGGCCGGCCCCACTTGCTCCCGACGCAGCAGAACATCGTTCCAAACAGCCCCAATGGACCGGACCGCGCCCAAAGTGACTTCCAGGGCGTCCGCAGCGGCCTCAGCGACGGCCCAATTCCCGCCATCGCGCGCTGCTAGCGCAGTTTACCCAGTCCCCCGCATTGTCGCTTCGCCGTTTGCCTTTCGCGTCAGCCCACCGTCTCGCGTTTCCTCAGCCTATGTTTCGCCACGACATCACGCATTTGGGCCAAAATCTTGGGTTCGCAACCATTTTTGTACGAATTCGGTTGCGAGCCCGGGATCCCCATGGTTTCCGCGGCACTGTTGGTGACATACGTCGAACGGCGAAGGTCCCTGCAAAGCATTTCGCTGAGCATTACACAGGCGAGCATCAGGACAAAGGGTCGCGAAAAGGGCCGGAGGAATGACGAGGAATGGAGGGAGGAACGCAACATGAGATGAGGGAGGAGGAGGAGGAGGAGGAGGAGGAGGAGGAGGAGAGGAGGAGGACGAGGAGGAGGACGAGGACGAGGAGGGGGAGGAGGAGGAGGAGGAGGAGGAGGAGGAGGAGGAGAGGAGGAGGAGGAGGAGGAGGAGGAGGAGGAGGAGGAGGAGGAGGAGGAGGAGGAGGAGGAGGAGGAGGAGGAGGAGGAGGAGGAGGAGGAGGAGGAGGAGGGGAGGAGGAGGAGGAGGAGAGGAGGAGGAGGAGGAGGAGGAGAGGAGGAGGAGGAGGAGGAGGAGGAGGAGGAGGAGGAGGAGGGGAGGAGGTGGAGGAGGAGGAGGAGGAGGTGAGGAGGAGAAGGAGGAGGAGGAGGAGGAGGAGGAGGAGGAGGAGGAGGAGGAGGAGGAGGAGAAGAAGGCAGAGAAAGAAGGATAAACGAGGAGGAGGAAGAGGAGGAGGAGGAGGAGGAGGCGGAGGAGGAGGTGGAGGAGGGGCAACCGTCAGACCGCCCCACAAGGCTCCGGGAGAACCCCCGCGAACCCACTCGAAGGCTTCAGCGCCCCAAGGCGGCCCAGCGGCCCTCAAAAGGGGCCCCGACGGCTCATGAGAGCCAAGCCGACCAACGCCTTGCCCGTCAAACCCGCCGCCCTCGAAATCGCACCACGCCGCCGCCCCGCGCCCCCTTTATTTGATATTCCGTGAAAAATAGCTGCATTATGCTCATAATCCCGGGTTCGCAACCAATTTTCGGGAAATTCGGTTGCGAACCCGGGATTCCATCTGTTTCCCGCGCGGCCCCCACTCATATGCGCCATTCCATGCGCCCTCGGCCTCCATCTCGCAGTTTTGGCCCGTCCCAGGTTGATTGCCCCCCTTTCTGCTCTTCCTGCGCTTCTCCGAAGTACGAACCAGCGGACCACGGCTAAAATGCGAACAAAAAAGATGGCGCCACGGGCCAACCATTCCAAAGCTTCAAGGAACAAGGTGCATGGCGCGAAGCGCCAATGCAGCCTTGTATATATATATATATATATATATATATATATATATATATATATATATATATATATATATATATATATATATGTATGTATGTGTATATATATATATATATATATATATATTATACCTGCGCAAGATGTCCGGGCGCCCGGGGCCAGGGCCTCGAGCGCGCATGGAGGGGCCGGGGCCTCCGAGACCGCTCCCAGAGCACCCCGGAGGGGCCGCGGAGCCCCCAGAGTGCCCCTGAGAGCTCCAAGACGCTCCCAGAAGCCCCTGGGTGACTTCGACAAGACAGCCCAGACAGCCCCAACGTGGGCTCCAGACCGCAAACGCGCAGCCCAAAAAGCCTCAAGAAAGCTCCGAGAGGCGTCCCGAGAGAGCCGTAAGAGGCCCTAACTCCTTCATTTCCATTGTTTTGTTTGTTTTATGTTTTTCGGTGTCTCGCGTTTTCGACTTTCCGACGCTCCACGACGGCCGACGACGCCCCAAAGGCCACCCCCAAACCACCGAAGAGGCTTTCAAAAGAGCCCCAAGACGGCCCCAGGGAGCCAGAAAATCGCCCGGGAGGAGCCCCAGACTGCCCAAGAGAGCCCCAGGACAGGCACAAGCTGGGTCGCGGAGCGGGAGCGGGAGGCCCCAAGGGGCTCCAAAACGGCCCAGATGGCCCCCTCGTGGCCCCAGATGGGCCCAACACGGCCAAAACATAGCCCAAGAGGATTCCAAGAGGCCCCCAAAAGCGCTCCGAGAGGCGTCCCGAGAGAGCCCGAAGAGACCCATATCCTTAAGTTTTGTTCATTTTCAAACAACGTTTTTCGCTTTCTTCTCGAGTTCTCCAGCTTCCAACGCTCCAAGACGGCCGAAGACGCCCCGAAGATCGCCCCAAGACCGCCGAAGGTGCCCCGAAACGAACCGCAAGACGGCCCAGGAGAGTCTGAAGACTGCCCGAGAGCAGCCCGAGACTGCCCAAGAGAATCCCAGGACAGGCACAAGATGGGCCCTAGAGCGGGAGCGGGAGGCCCCAAGGCGCTCCAGGACGGCCCAGATGATCCCAACGTGGCCCCAGAGGAGCTCAAGACGGCAAACACACAGCCCAAGAGGATTCCAAGAAGGCCCAAGAGAGCTCCGAGAGACGTCCCGAAAGAGCCCAAAGAGGCCCAAATCATTGATACGCATTGGTTTGTTTGATGTTTTTTGTTTTCTCGCGTTCTCCAGCTTCCAACGCTCGAAAACGGTCGAAGACGCCCCCAAGACCGCCGAAGAGGCCCCGAATCGAGCCGCAAAACGGCCCCAGGGAGCTTGCAAATTGCCCACGAGGAGCCCCAGACGGCCCAAGAGAACCCCAGGACAGGCCCAAGCTGGGCCACAGCGGGAGCGGGAGGCCCCAGGGCGCTCGCAGACGGCCCAGATGGCCCGGGCCTTTCCCCCTCCGTCCCTCCTTCCCTCCCGCCCCCTCCCCTTGCCTCCATTCCCGCCTCTTTCTTTTTCCTCCCCTCACCCCTCTGCTTTCGTGTTCCCCCGTCCTCTCCTGGGACGGCCCCGCCAGAGCGCCAGACAAGCCCCGCCAGAGCGAGCGGGGCGTCGCTTTACCCTATCATTTCACAAACTGCTTTGCCCCATCCCACCCCTCAAAGGCGGCCCCGGCAGAGCGACAGGGGTGTTGCTATACCATATACAGTCCCTGCTCTGTCTTGTTCCTTCCACCGCACCCGAGGTAACCCCGTCAGAGCGCACGGGGTGTGGCTGTGCCAGAATGTTCCTCAGGTCTCGTGCTCCTCCCTCCCCTCTTGGGCAAGCCCCGCCAGAGCGCCAGGGACACCCCCGCCATAGAGAGCAGGGCACCACTACACCATATTCGTTCACGCGGCTTTTGCTCCTCCCACTCTTGCAGGGCGGACCCGCCCGAGCGAGCGGGGTGTGGCTACACTATACAATTTGTCAGGTATCGTTCCCCTCCCTCACCTCCTGAAAAGGCTTCGCCTGAGCACCAGGAAGGTATTGCCAGAGGCCCCGCCAGAGCTCCACGCAGCCCCATACATGGGACTTGCCAATCAATTAAATCATTGAGCATCCCCCGTGAGCCCGAACCTTATGTTCCCATGGGTGCGATTATCGGCGGCATGAGGTTTGGCGTCCAGCACAAAGAAGCTTCCCCACTCCCGTGGACGGACTCGACAACAACTGATTGCAGAGAGGGTTGCTGATGACTGGGACACTTGCGCGCGCCCCCTGCAGACACCCGACAGCTGAACGACCGTTGAAAACGAAAAGCTTGGAGCACCAAGAAGAGGGGGAACAACAACGCGCTCCCACGCGTGCGCAACGAGGCCCCGAGCCAACCACAACATCAGGAGCCGGCGGATATCTGCGCGATCGGGCATGCGAGACCGAGCAGATGTGCAAAAGCGCTGAGTGTCACGACCGGGCAGAGCGGAAGTGACAGTGGAGAAAATAGAACAATTCGATAAACCAAACAAAGGCGGCAGCGATATGTGAGATACGCGGGTGCGTGGCGCCCCGCGTTCTGACTGCGCTTTTCATTGCGTCGATGGCATGGGCCCGAAAACGCTGGAAATCGTCGTTGTGGCCACAGCGGGGCTTACAGCGGCACCAGTGGCTCATCTGCGACTAGAACCTAAGCGCGCGTAGTGCGCGCGTGGTTCTAGTGTATATCCGTAAGGGCTTCGCCCCCTGCCGCTGGCCCCCTCTCTCGGATAATGGGCAATGCAAGAGCGAAATCATGAGGCCTTGGCGCCGCCGTGAAGCAGCGTCGGGACTTCACGCGAAGACGTTGAGTAATCGGCAAGACAAGTTGAGATGTTGGGGATATTGTTGAATGCGGTGTTGTGTTTCGAGGGTTTATGGCTTCGGATACGCGACTAGCGCGTAATTTACAAAGAGTGTATGGCTTCAGGCTCGCAGCTATAACGTAATTCACGCACGTGTATGGCTTC